ATATATATATATATATATATATATATATATATATATATATATATATACAGACCATTTTCAAAAAAATTTGAATATCATGGAAAAGTTGTTTAACTTCCACAATTCCATTCAAAGTTAATCTTTAATATATGATAGATTCAGGGCCCACAATTTAAACGATTTCAAGTATTTATTTGTTTATTTTTACATAGTTTGGACTTCCAGCTCATGAAACCCACGAAAACAGTATTTCAAGAAATTAGAATACTGTGAAGACATCAGTCCACACTACTTGTCAGTTTTTGCAGAAAAAAGAGAAAAAAATTAGGATCACAACAAATCAATCAAAACATGATACATTCAAAACGATATGTCAATCTTCAATACTTGGTTAGGAATCCCTTTGCTTTAATCACTGCCTCGATGCGACGTGGTATTGAGACAATCAGCCTGTGGCATTGACTGGGAGTTATGGAAGCCCAGATTTTCTCGATGCTTGCTGTCAGCTCTTCTTTGTTGTTGGGTCTGGTGCTCCTCATTTTCCTCTTGAGAATAATTCATAGATTCTCAATGTGGTTTAGGTCCGGTGAGTTGGCTGGCCAGACAAACACTGTGATGGCATGCGCATCAAACTAGGTTTTGGTGCTTCTGGCGGCATGGGCAGGTCCTACTGGAAGATGAAATCTGCATCTCCATACAGATCCTCAGCAGAAGAAATCATGAAGTCCTCTAAAACATTCTGGTAGACTGTTGTGGTGACCTTAGATTTAAGAAAGCAGAGTTTACCAACACCTGCACTGAACATTGCACCCCAAATCATGACGGACTGTGGATATTTCACACTGGACCTCAAGCAGTAGTTTCTCTGTTCCTCACCCTTCTTCATCCAAACCCTTGGACCTCGATTTCCAAACGAAAGACACACTTTACTTTCATCGGAAAAGAGGACGGAGGAACCCGACAGTTGTAGCCCATCTCCCGATGCGTCAATGTGGTGGTTTTTGAAACTGTGACTCTCGCCTCATTCCACTCTTTCTGGATCTCTGCCAGATTCTGGAATCTTCTCTGTTTGATGATCTGCTGAAGCCCACGGTCATCTCTTTTGCTGGTGCATCTTCTCCTGCCACATTTTGCCCTTCCACTAGACTTTCCATTGACATGCTTGGACACAGCACTCTGTGAACAGCCAGCCTCCTTAGCTATGAACTTTTGTGGCTTACTCATCCTATGGAGAGTATCAATGATGGTCTTCTGGCTAGCTGTTATGTCTGCAGTCTTCCCCTATTGAACCCAACTGAGACAATTGAACCAAACTGAAGCAATTTAATGACACCTGGGAAACCTGTGCAGGTGCTTTGAGTTTAGTAGATGATTAGTGTCACACTCAGTTTAAATCATTCATGCAACATTTGGGCTGATTTCTTCACAGTATTCTAATTTTTTGAAATCCCGTTTTCGTGGGTTTCATGAGCTGGAAGCCCAAATTATGTAAAAATAAACAAATAAATACTTGAAATTGTTTAAATTGTAGGCCGTGAATCCATCATCTATTAAAGATTAACTTTTCAAATGGAATTATGGACATTAAACAACTTTTCCATGATATTCAAATTTTTTGGAAAGGGTCTGTATGTCGCTTCGCCGTATAAGTCACATCTATTATGCGTCACTGCTGACGCGTCGCGTATTTTACGCGTCTCCGCTGACAACCCAAAAGTGTGGGCCGGTGTTGTGCCAAAAATCGATTGGCTGCCAAATGGCGAAGTAGGAATGGACAGAGGGACGAGTTGCTGTGCATTTATTTGAAATTTAACAAGCTTAACATCTAAAAACAATGGATTGCTCCACTTTATTGTAAATGTGTCTCAGTCAAACGTTTGCTTAATAAAATGACTAACAGTCAAATCTGCTGTATTTCAAAAAATTTGCTGTCTTGGTGCTCCGGGAGCATGCGGAGGGAGGAAAAAAAAAGGAAGGAATGCTGTGCGTTTCTTCAAAATTTAACAAGTTAAGCATCAAAAACAATTATTTGTTTGCTCGAAATTATAGTAAAGGTGTGTCTTAGTTTAACTTTTACTTAATAAATGCACTTTAATGGTCAAATTAGCTGCATTTCGCTGGGGCAGTGCAGTGAAATGAAGCTGATTTGACGGTTGCTCCAAGCAGTGAGCAGAACGAAGGTGGGCAGTGTATGGCAAGCCAATTGTGTCATTAATAGCTGGTGAGGATTCTCAGTCATCCAGGACATGGTAAATAAAAAAAAGTTCAAGACTAAAACAAAGTGTAAAGTATAATAAAGTCCAGAAGTTTTTGTCTTGAACTTTCTTGAATTTGTCATTAATAGCTACTACTTAATGTATGATACAACGGCATGCCTTACTACTCGACTGCCATTTAACGACTGAAAATAGTAGTGTAAAATTTTTTTCAGTCAGAATGAATGAAAACCGTAATATCTCAGCCAAAAATCGGTTTATAAATATGGAAAAAAAATCCATAAATGCATTGCTTTGGCCTATAAGTATCAGGACAGGCAAATTATGCAAAAAAAACCAAAACGCAGCTTATAGGGTGGAAAAATACGGTATATACTGGGCCTCCCACTGTTTGTGTCGCTGCACGTACTGCACTGAGCTGTAACTGGATATCCTGTATGTGTCCTCTGCATTTACGGTACCCATCCATAGAATGGTTACAGCATTCATAGAGCAATTTGAGGTTTAGATCAGTGGTAGAGCAGTGGTTCTCATTCTCAAATGCATTCATGTTGACAACTAAATTGACGGCTATTGGCCTGTGGACCTCAATTTGTTTTTGTCTAATATGTCAGCGGAATGAGGTTGGCCTTTTTTTTTACTTCACTTTAATGTCGGTCGGTTGGTACTGTGGACACCCTTGCCCTGGTCGTTGATAATGGTGACAGTATGGCCCCCACTCTCGACAGAAATACATTTTTAAAGATTGTAGAGATCTCTTAAAGCCATGGTGACACTTTCAGACCTCCAACAGTGTGCTACAATTGCCTTATCTGTTTTTTTTTTTTATCTCTGAGAAGGCATATGGTGTCGACCTGTTATCACAAACGATATTTGTCACCATGTCACCCACATCTGTTGCTCAGGGACAAGTTGCTGGCTGTCTTGACCTATGACAGTTTTCCTAAATAAAATTTTATATTAATGCTATGTTGTCATTTTTAAGTTTGTGTTCACACATTTTTGGAAACAATGATAATGTAAGAATTTTGAACAACATAATACCCACCATCTGCCAACAATATTGTGTATTTAACACCAGTACTAAATGAAGAAACTTAATGGTAATGATTTAGACCTATCAGCAGACATTAAAACTAAACTGTTCTAATGGGCTTCACATAGTAAATGTTTTTAAAAAGTTGAATATTTTAATGTCAAATGTACATGAATCAATATTGATTCCTTAACTTTGATTCAATATAAAATCAACACAAATGTAAATGCAGATTACTATTTAGATGATGGTTGAATCAACATTGATATAGTATCAGTTATGGTTGAAAACCTAACGTTGATTCAACGTGTAAGTCACCGACCACTTTCTGTATAATTTCAATGTCAGGGTTCAACATTGATTCAATATTTCTGCCTAACCACATTTCAGTGTTGATTCAATAATATTTTGCTATCTGGGAAATCACAAAACAAGAATTAAACTTTAAATCAAAGCTACAATAAAATATTCTGTACACAAGAAACAAAACCACAAATCTAAATTGAACAATAAAAGTAGACACAATGAGCGTAAATACATCAAATTATGAAGAAAAATATAGAATTTTAAATATAAATGTTTTTGTATAATCTGGTTCATCAGATTTAATTAAATTCAGTTTATTTACATAGCGCCAAGTCACAACAGAAGTCGTCTCAGGGCACTGAACAGAAACATTCATATATAAAATAAGTTGACAGAAACGTTTATATTTAAAAATAATAATTTAAAATTATTTATCTGAGGAGCAGACTGCTTTGAGTTTAACTCATCACAGAACTCTCTCTTAATGGTGAATTAAAGTTCATTAAAAGTTCATTAGCAGGATTTTGGATTCTGGATACGCCTCCAGAACCGGTCCGAAGTGCAGTGGAAATCCTACGTGTAAAAAGCTGATCTGAGCAGAGTAGGGCCGAGTAGGAGTAGTGGAAATGGGGCATTGTAGCGCTGTTTTAATGGTGAAAAAGATTCGTAATTCAGACCGTTTGTCGGGACTTGTTTTCAGCATTGTCTACAGAAATAATTTTTCTGCTGCTCATCTGACAATTTAAATCCAAACCATCTCTGAAATAACACCCATTGTTTTTCTTTTTGCTCAGCAGCTAAGCTGCTCTTCATATCTCCCGTGTTTACTTGTTGTTTTAACCCCCCCCCACACACCTGGAGAAGCAGGAAGTGGGGGAGCACGTGGCTGAGGGGCTGTGTGTTTGTGTTCAAGGAGGGAGAAGGAGTGGGGCTGCGTGGGAAAAAGAAGACAGCAGGAGGATTTTCAAGTACAGTATAACACTATATCGTTTATATTGATATAACCTCAACTTATATCGCAAATGAAATGATCTCAATATTTTTAAAGTATCGCGATATCGCCCAGCTCTATGGAAGACCTAGGAAACGTTGGAAACTCTCTCAGCTGGTCTGGGAATACAGTGGAGTCCTTCCAAAACAGCTGGCTATGGAGAGACGTCCAAACCCCCCTGCCCCACTGTGACTTGACTGCAACAAGATGATGTATGGATTGCTGTTTTGATTTAATTAATAATTTAAATTTCGCTGAATACCTTTTTTTCTTTGCATCTTTTTCCTCACTGGATGAGGAGGAGGGATCAGAGCTTCGGCTTTCCACCAGTTTCCTGTTGGAAAGAAAACCAGTTTTAGTCAAAAGAGTTCTGATTAGTTTCAATACAACTGTTTTTTAGTCTCCAACTCACCCTTTTTCCTGCTCTGCTTCAGAGTCAGAACTGTCTGAGGAGGAGGAAGACGACGACGAGGAGGACGAGGAGGAAGAAGAAGGCGAGGAGGAGGTGGATGAGGAGGAGGATGAAGAGGAACTAGAGCTGCTGCTCCTGTTGGCTTTATCTTTCCCATTAACAGTCATGTCTTTGCTGACTGTTTTCTCGGGTTGCTGCCAGGTTGCCGGCTGCTTCCTGCTCAGGTGTGATACCTGTCTGGTGTCTGATTGGCTGTTGGCTGGAGACTCTGCAGACGAACTGTGCCATGGATCTGATGGTGAAACTCTTCTGCCTGAGCCAGAATGTTTGGAGTCCAAAGGAGAAATTCTCTTCTTGCCCGGGTGAGAGCGATGCGACTCTGACGTGGAGTCTCTTCTGCTCGACTCAGAATGTTGTGGCTTCGACGGTGAGACTCTCTTTCCTGACCCGGAGCGACGTGAATCTGTTGGTGACACGCCCCTGCCGGGCTCGAAACGATTGGAGTCCAATGGCAAGACTTTCTTGCTCAAGTCGGAACGTTGCGAGTCCAAAGGTGAACCTCCTCTGCCTGAAAGTGGAACGTGAAGGGATTCACTGGAAGACGCCTGAGACAAAGAGGATTGTCTTTTTGTCTTCTCTCCCTGTTTGTTCAAGACTTTCTCTGCTGGTGCCTTACAGTCTTTTCTTTCTTTGGGTGGTGAGGGTGAGGATGACGAAGAGGAGGAGGAGGAGGAGGATGATGAAGAGGAGGACGACGACCTGCAGGGCTGGGGAACACCTTTAGGCTCTCCCAGTCTCTGCGCCTCCCTGGACCTGGCCCTCTCAGGCTGTCTATCTCTGTCTTTGGACAGGGAGCGACTGGACCTCCACCTCCGCTGTGGAGACGGGGATTGGCGGGATCTGGAGATTTCAAATGTTCAAACATTACCCTTAACATTTAATTGTTTTGACTGATTTTTAAAAACCTAAACAGAGACACAGAAGGCTCTCATCTTACCTGCTGAGGGGACATGGTGATCTTAGGACTCTGGATGTGGAACTGCATCTCTTCGGGCTTCTGGATGGAAATCTGCTGGTCCTCCTTGGACTTCTAGGTCTAGACCCACTGCGCCTTCTTGAAGTTCTAGACCTAGACCCACTGTGCCTCCTTGGACTTCTAGGTCTAGATCCAATACACCTCCTTGGACTTCTAGGCCTAGACCCACTGCGCCTCCTTGGACTTCTAGGTCTAGATCCACTGCACCTTTTTGGACTTCTAGGCCTAGACCCACTGCGCCTCCTTGGACTTCTAGGCCTAGAGACACTGCGTCTCCTTGGACTTCTAGGCCTAGAGACACTGCGCCTCCTTGGACTTCTAGGTCTAGAGCCACTGCGCCTCCTTGGACTTCTAGGCCTAGATCCACTGTACATCCTTGGACTTCTAGGCCTAGATCCACTGTGTCTTCTTGGACTTCTAGGCCTAGATCCACTGCGCCTCCTTGGACTTCTAGGCCTAGAGCCACTGCGCCTCCTTAAACTTCTAGGCCTAGATCCACTGCGCCTCCTTGGACTTCTAGGCCTAGAGCCACTGCGCCTCCTTAAACTTCTAGGCCTGGATCCACTGCGCCTCCTTGGACTTCTAGGCCTAGATCCACTGCGCCTCCTTGGACTTCTAGGTCTTGACATGCTGCGTGTCTTTGGACTTTTGGATCGGAACCTTCTGATAACTCTTTGCGGTTCTGTATCCACCTCCCTGCTCTTGTCCCAATCTGTCCGAACTAATGGAGGAGTTCTTCTAGACCGTGACAGAGGTTCCTGATACTGCTTTGGAGGCGTGCGACGAGCTGGGGAGGTTGTCAATGTTCTCTGAGGCGGAGACCAGGAGCTTCTAGCTGAGGGGCTTGATGTCTTGGTCTTCCTGGTTCTGTCCCCACTTGTGGCTTTAGAAGGAGAGTACTTGCAGCCTCCTCGAGTGTCTGGTCTGCTGGGTGGGGAGGGGGTAGGACTGTTCATCTGTGTGGGACTGTAACGCTCTTGTCTTTTAGTTTGGGGTTGGTGTTCTTCAGCAGGAGCTCTGCAGGCCGGTCTTTCACCATCATGTTTGTCCTCCTCAGGGTTCTGATCTTTATGCGACTGTCTCGTTTCCTCAGAGACAGAGCTTTCCTTCCTTCCGCTGGCCAAATATCTTTCAACAGCAGCTCCGATGGCAGATGTTTTTGTGATGTTGTTTCTGTCCATGTCTGCTGATGCAGCTTTCTGGGCTTTGTCCTCATCTTTAGAGGGTGATGAAGAAGAGGAGGATGAAGAGGAGGATGAAGAGGAGGATGAAGAGGAGGAGCTATCACTATCACTGTCACTGCTGCTGCTATCACTGCTGCTCTCATGGTTCTTTCCGTCTTTACACTTCTCCTTTATGGGACTTCTCGCCATCTCAGTCCTCTCGCTCTGGGATGTCTCCAAAGGTTTGGACACATCTCTTCTACTTTCTGCAGACAACTGGACCTCATCTCTCCTTCTTCCAGCACCTTGTTCTCTTTGTTTGCCCTCCTCTTTAGGTCTCTCTTTGTCTGGTTCTTGTCTCTTCTCGGGCTCCTGTTCTTGTAGATGTCCGATGTGGACAGGGGACGGGAGGTCACAAGACAGATGTCTATCTATTCTCTTGTCACTCCTCTGCTGGTGAGGAGATGCTCCTCTGTCCTGTCTCTTGGTGCTGTCTTTCCGGTTGTCTCTGTCACTTAGTGCTCGTGAGTATGGTTGCTCCTTGTCGCCACTCTTTTGCGTTCTGAGCTTCTCTTTTTCAGGAGACAATGAGAAGGACAAGGAATCATATCTGGTCTTTCTGTGCAGTTTCCTCTCCTCTTCTTTTTCGTGCTCGATGTTTTTACTTTTTTCCCTCCTGGTTTCCTGTTGAGGAGGAGGAGGAAGAGGAGGAGGAGAGGAAGAAGAAGAGGTGGTATCATGCCTCATCCTCTGAGGTACGTTTTCCTTTCCTTTGTCTCTCCTCTCTCTGCTCCTGGAGCGCCCTCTTCTCCCCATTTCTGTGCTCCTTGAACGCCCCCTTCTGTCCATCTCGACGCTCCTAGAACGCCTCCTTTTCTCCATCTCAATGCTTCTCGAACGCCTCCTTTTCTCCATCTCTATGCTCCTTGAACGCCTCCTTCTTTCCATCTCAATGCTCCTTGAACGCCTCTTTTTCTCCATCTCCATGCTTTTGGAGTGCTTCCCTTTCTCCCTCTCTCTCTGTTTGCTTCTGGATCTCCTCCCTTTCTCCCTCTCCATGGTTTTCTGAGGAGAGGAAGATGAGGAGCCATGCCTCCTCTTGGTCTTCTCCCTCTGTTGCAGTTTTTCCCTCTCCTGGTTGGGCCTCGTCTATATGACGGGGGAGACATTTTTATTCTAGCTGCAATAAAACATTCACCTACTGTGTATTTATTGCTGAAGTATTGAAGTCCATCTCACCTGTTCACCTCCCTGACGCTGTGAGCTGTGCTCCTCATAACCCCGTCTCCTCCAGTCAGGCGATTTCTCCATTCTACCCTCAGGTTTTCTTACAGTTTGGTCCTTATGGAGTGACCTTGGTGGAGGTGGAGACTGGTCGCTGTTAAAGAGCAAAAATAAAGAATTAAAACAAAAAAACTAACAAACTCAATTGAGTTAAAACTCATTTATTCATGGTGCTAACCCCCAGTTGAACACTTGTCAGTTCTGCACCACACAAGGGCCCACCCATTGGCGGTACCACACCCAGTCAGCACCAGTTAAAAGGCCTGCCCACTGGTGGTACCACCCCCACTCAGCACTAGTTAAGGGTCCGCCCACTGCCGATACCAACCCCACTTAGCACCTCCGTCTTAACCTCCGTTTTCTGTCCGATCGCTGTGAAGTGTGGGTTTGTAGATCATTTCTAGAGTTCAGTAACGGAAGCTCCAAAAGCAGTCCTGTGGACCACTGAAGAGGTCCAATCCTTTTTGTTTGGTGACCAGAGGATTCAGCGAGAGCCGTTACGATGCTCGCCTACTTTGCAGTGACAGAGAGGGGAAGCAAGTCAAGAGTGGACGTTCACGACACCTGAGAAGACCTGAGAAGACCCGAGAAGACGGGAACCAAATCGAGTAGTACTTATCAATGGCAAAGCGGTTTTACATAACTAGTGAGCACAAGACAGTTTTGTCAATTTGGGACTTTGTGAAAAATGTTAAAACTGAATGATTTGTAAATCTCAAAGCCAATCATGAAAAGAGTCACAATGAGGAATCTTTCAAAGTTGATTTGTAATTATTTTTTTATTATTCTTAAAAGCATCAAAACGAGGTGAAGTTTGTAGATGTTTGGTGTTTTATCACCTGGCAACTAGCTGCTTTTCTTTGTGATGAAAGAGTGGACTACAGCTGGAGTTAGTGCTTGAAGAACCACCATGCTCAGATGTATGCAAGACAAGGGGTTCAGTTGTCACATTCCTTATGTCAAGCCGCTCTTGAACAAGAGAGAGCGTCAGTAGCGGCTCACCTGGGGCTGTTGTTGAGTTGTCCAAAGTTATCCAATAATGGTCAATCAGGTCATCTGGACAGTTTATTTTTTGTGGAAAGACGTTTTGCCCTCTGTCCAGAGGGCTTCATCAGTCTGAAGACTTGATGAAGTCATTCAGTCTGTGTGTAATGAATAAATATAATATACCATAATTGTCAGTGTATAAGCCACTACTTTTGTCTCATACTTTGTACCCTTTTTCAAAATGTGTATATTTTTTTATTTTATTTTGAAAGACTTTCTGTCATTTCTTGGCAGCTTCCTGCCACTGCCTATGATTTACTTTTGACAAGGCTGGATGCTCTCAGCTCCCAACACTCTGCCCCTCTTGGGAGCAAGCTTTTGCAACATAAGGAGAATGCATACAGGTAATCAGATGTGCTACGATTCTAGGTCATGGTTTCACAATTCACTACCATAAATCCACCTACTCTGTCATCATTCTGTTCACTCTACTAACCTACGACTGCTCTCCATCACACCCCTCCAACCTCTTCATCAAGTTTGCGGACGACACGACTGTGGTAGGCCTCATCAGCAATAACGATGAGTCACTCTACAGGAGCGAGGTGAGCCGGCTGGTCTCCTGGTGCAAACGCAACAATCTCTTGCTGAACACAGAGAAGACCAAGGAGATTGTTGTGGACTTCAGGAGAACTCAGACAAAACATGCTCCACTATCCATCAACAGTGTTGTTGTGGAAAGGGTGAGCAGCACCAAGTTCTTGGGTGTGCACATCTCTGAGGACCTCTCCTGGACCATCAACACAGCAGCAGTGGCCAAAAAGGCTCACCAACGGCTCTACTTCCTCCGCAAGCTGAGAAGAGCGAGAGCCCCCACCCCCATCATGACAACCTTCTACAGGGGGGCCATCGAGAGCATCCTGATGAGCTGCTCCACTGTGTGGTACGGGGCCTGCACAGCATCCTGCCGCAAATCCCTCCAGCGGATCGTGAGGACAGCTGAGAAGATCATTGGCACCTCTCTCCCCTGCCTTCAGGACCTCCACAGCTCTCGCCTCAGAAGGAAAGCCCTCTGCTGGGTGGGAGATCTTGACCACCCGCTACACTGCTTCTTCAACCTGCTGCCATTAGGGCGGAGACTGCGTAGCCTCAGTTCTAGGACCAGCAGACTGTGGAACAGCTCCGTCCATCAGGCCGTGAGGATGCTGAACTCTCTGCCTGCCCCCCCTCAGCCC